TATGACTCCTGGTATCACCGCCCCGAGGCGCCGCACCCCAAAACCACGGCATCGCCTAGCGCTTTGATCCGAACAGCTCAGGCGAAGCTCCTGCTAGCAAGGCGGCAAGCTCCGCGGGTGCGAAGCGTACCGGGTACGTTATAGGTGGCGCCATTACTACTTCGATTCACGAACGTCTTATTTTCAGACAAGAGTGCAAGACCAGCATCAGGGGGAGGGGGAGGGGGGATCGGTATCAAGGTAAGCATAATCGGGTTAAAGGGTACGGCAGCAATGATCAGAGTGGGCACAATGCAGCTTTCAGAGCAAGGTCGCGCTGTCGTGACTATGAGCTCTTTAGTTGAAAATGGATGACCTTTAGTTGGCCAGGAGAGGCTGGTTAAGCGATGCTATCATAATGTATGATGCATATTAAACTACGTCCACATTGGGCTGTTTGGATTCACGTTATTTCATTGAATTCGTGATGATTAACACGACCTTGAAAACGGCGAATATATTTTTATCATGTATACCAACAATTGCTGACGAGACTCGGCCATTTAACCAATACCTCTTGGTAGATTGTTGCTAGTCATTTTCAAACAATAACTCAGATCGAAAAAAATACTAGGAGCTGAGAGCTGAGCTTTCTTTTGTCACATCAGGTCGTGCCGTCGGTCAGCCTGATTGATCACGTCATCATCGGCACCATCGGACGTGGCACTAAGCAGGGCTCCGCGCCGACTAGCAGTCAGCGCTGCACTGAGCAGGATATGCTCAAGGACAGCTGCAGATGACCTTAAGAAACTGACTTCCGTGCGGCGAATAATTCACAAGCAGAACTGACGGGACTCAGCCCAGCTTTGGCGGCACCGCCAAGACCAATCTTCTTCGGCGAGGTTTCAGAAGCGCCAGGACCATTTGATAAGAAGTGAGCTGATAATTTCTAAACCCACGTTTCAGCTGAGTCCTAGTGAACGAAGTTTAGACTCCTGCATCCTCGCATGGGCCTGCGCGTGCAGTGGAAACAGATGAAGAACATGCATGCACACAGTGGTAACAGATGCTCTCACATCCGTTATGACATTGCTCGTCCTGCTCCAAGTTCCAATGCGCATTGTGTCCCACCAGTTGGTATGGTCCTTTTTTGCCATAACTAACCGAAGTGGGGAAAAAGATGAGTAGCCACAAGGTTTGATTTCACCTTGTGTTTCTTAAACTTCTGAAAGGTGTCTTTTTAGTTAAAAAAAAATATTTAGTCACTTCTGACAAATACTTTTGGAAACGAAAGGGGCCGGGAAGCGGGACGAATGACGTGCCGTACAACAGGCACACCAACATTTTGCATTTCGCAACATATAACTTCATACAACATATAACTTCCTCCAATGCTCGTTTCTAAAAAGGAAAAATGGCGCAATGACAGTCATCCGTGTGCCCATGCCAGCCCTGATAGGTTACACGAGTGACAAGTACCTTAGCCCGCCATGAAACACTTCGTTGTGGTGCCGATAATCTGGTCTGGGAATGTAAATTACTTCAAGTGGAACCTTTGCGGCATTGAAAAGCTGTGAAATGACAGCACTGTGAAGTATGAGGTGCCTGGCGGTATGCTATTTATGCATGCCTGGCGGCAAATCGTATCCAGGTCACATTATGCCACCTAAGGCGTCATTTCCAAGGACTTACAGTGCAGCGCCATTATATGCTTGGTTGTCACTCCTCCATGGCTGTGAATCATAACTTGAGTCACCAAGTGAATGCGTAATGATACTCCTTAACCACCCCATTCACTTGTAGTACATTGATTATAGCAATGAGATCAAACGAGACTAATGAACCGTGGTTAGTTCTTTTCCCACGTATCGGTTATGAACTACTCTTTTGCACTGAGTCTAATTCGTAGCAAAATTTAGCGTCCGTTCGGTATTAAGTGCTAAGAAATTGTAATAAAATAAAGTCGACGTTCTAAACAACTTCACTCATCACGTGGTGAGACCAAAGCCGGCCTCGCGTCTTGTCAGGTCAGGTCGTTCTCGAAAGGTTGCGCAAGGTGCCTGCCGGTCCCCTTACTGTTCCGCGTGTGTAATGCACGGACTTTGGAATTTATCATGGATTTGGACCAAGCTTCAGCCAACAAGCTGCATGAAAAATTATTAGGAGCTCGTTGGTCTCCAGCCACTCAGAGCTCAAGCCAGGTGAAATTAACTCGCAGGTCTCAAATGATGCGACGCGACGACAGTTTTCGTCCAGCGATGCGGATATGTTGAGAACTTTTCAAACGTACAAAGCTAGCGTTTTGACGTAACAGAGTAGCCTCAGATCCTGTCAGATTACGTGGGTGTAGGGAGCGATAAAGATTCATAGTATCAAATGCATGAGAGCATGAAAACAGAACATAATCACCAGAGCATAGCTCGGGCCAAGTCGGATCCTGGGGCCACGCGAGGTTTAAGTAAGTCGAGCGTCCGAGGTACCAGGTTCAAGCGAGGGTCAATGAACTCAGATTATCTGATTTGACCGAAATGCACTCCTCGGCCAGCTTTCTGACCAACAAAGCGTCATTTTGCCTCACTTGAACCGAAATGCATCATGTCCGACCCAAGCCTTTACTAAAACAAATCGTCGTTTTCGAGCAGGCGGGCACTGAATCCATCCTGGAAGGTCGCAGGATCGCCTGACACGATCCTCTCCTACGTCATTTGCATACGTCACGCGTCATACGTCATCTGATGCGCGAGACATAGAGAAAGGCTAAGGTGTCATTGCCGTGGCCCTACGTTGCGTGGCTGTGCCTCATTGGCTAGCGAAGTCTGGATCTTCATAATTTGGCAAGCTTTCAAGTCACTTTTGTGACCTGGGAGGCCATCTGTTCACCGAAAGCCAACGAAACCGGACGCCACTCGAAAGTTCACACGACAAACAGCACGGCCATCTTTAACGCATTGGTCTGTCTCGCTGAATTAGTGATCAGACGGGGAGGCGAGTGATTTTGTCCTCCGGCAGGACGAGGTAATCAGGAAGATGGACGGTGGAGTAGGAGTGAACTGATGCGGAATACCAGTGGTTGGCCTTAATACATAAAGGCATACAGCTGATGTCGCGTAACGACCCAGTGCACTCGTGTTCTCACTCGGCTGGATGTAGCCAGCCGTCGTCGGATTTCTCAGCCATCACGCCATCTGCGGCACCCTGCCTCACGGTCGCGCCTTAATGGAGGACCAGCCGGCGAGGACACCAGAGGTCGGTCCGGCGGTGACCGGCGCGGTGGCCGGCGCCCTTGTAGCGGTGTCGGGGTCGACACGGGGCTGGCGCGGGCGGCGGCCGCTCCGCTGATAGCGGCCCGTTACCGTGGCCGGACGCGCCGGCCGGCCGGCGGCCGCGGCGACCGCGCTCGACCTTCGCCGCCGCGGCGCCGGCCGATCTGGGTTAGAGGGCGCGCACGCGGCCCCACAGTGCACCGCACCGGCCCAGACATGAGACACTGCCTCTACGCCGCCCTGCTTCTGATCGCGCTCGGTGAGTGGGGTGCCCGCGGCGCCCGAGGCGTGACCTCTTCGACCCGGCGGTGGTTGTCGCGCTCTGGGAGGCGGCGCTGCGGCGGCCGATGGAGTGCCGTGTCAGCGCTGTGAACTGAATGACCTAACTGACCCACCTGTCTAGCTGTGCTTTACTGTATGAGGTAAGGATGTGCGCATAGGTTTCCGATTCGCCATGCGTGGGGAGTGAGCGCCTTCACTCAGTGTGCAGGAATGCGCTCCACAGTGCAAGTGTGTGAAAAATGCTGTCATCGTGACCTGCAAGGAAGTGTGCATATAGTGCAAGGGAGTGTTCCACATTTAGATCGGATTTTTAACTGAAATAGCCACATTAAACACGAGAAGAGGTATATCGGGAGAACATCTGAATGTCAACTTGGCATTCGTGACGCCATAATAACGTCGTTCAAATCCTGCCATTCCATAAGCCATGCGAAGATCAAGGTCAATGCAAATGTAATCTTCAAGGCGTTTATATCTAGTATTCTTGAGCGCGATTTCCAGATACAGCTGGTTCTCTAGCTGTATCTGGAAATCAGCTGTATAATATCAGCTGGCTGGTACATGTTGTGCAATGTACAATGACGTGTTCAAACCATTACGTATTGCGAAGCATATTTACTACACAGATAATTGCGCTATTTAAAGCAGTCTTTTCCACTTCAAAATTATACTAATAGCTATAAGTGAGCTTGTCTCATCATATATGATGCTTGCCTCAATGTGTTCAATTGTGAAACAGTCCCTGTCAGGCAAGTATCTACCGACCGTAGTCTTTCTTGAGCTGAATGTAACGAAATGATGCACCGTCAAATATTGGCTTCGTGTTAACAGCAGCAAAAGATCTGCTTACTCAATCGGATACCACGCTGCCCTTGGTCCAATTAATCGAGCGACTTGCTCGAATGTCATGGACAAGGGCAGCGTGGGCGCACCTTCCACTGGACTGGGGACCAGCTACAGATCAGACAAAGGCTTGTAGCGCTTTTTCACGGTTACGACGCTCACTGCTCAGCACCTTACCATAGACTTTTTAATCCCCTGCGCTGCTTATTTTTCCGATCCCGCCGCGATGTTGACAGCTGGGGTTCGTGATATGCTTCAATGAGTCCCAACCTCAGCACTCCCGGTGACACGGCGAACAGGTGGGCTCTGAGTGAAAGCTTGCGGTGCACAACGCCTGTCATCCACAGCTAAGGCGATTCCCAGAAACGCCGACTGGGTGCGTCTCCTTGAGTCAACCTTGGACACACGCCGACCAGTACCGAGCATGCCGAGTCCCAGTCACCGCCGCCCTCCACCGACCGCCGCCATCGTCTGTCGCCAGTCTCGGGACAGCGGACCACCAGCCGGCGACGACCCGTCGGCCGGGACCCTGTCGGTCAGGCGTCTCCAAGCCGGGGGTCGTTCCTGAGGCAGGGGGCGTCCCCGCCGGCGGCGCCAGGCCGGACCACGGCGGGCGCCACCGCGGTCGGCCGCGCGCCCGGCCGCCGGGGCTCATCCAGTCGCGTGGTGCCGGCCAGAACCACGCCCGCCCCTCAGGCGCCCACCTTCGACACAGAATGCCCCCAGAAGGACGGCTTCTTCGCCGACGCGTTCCAGGTTCGGCTCTCGCGCGTTTGTGATGTAACTCAGGTCCTGGCAAGTGTAAAAAGGAAATGTGACATGATGTAACTCAGGCCTCGGTCACATGGGAATACCGTTTTGAAATAAGGCTTGCAAGTGTTTTGTTGATGTGCCAACACATATGAATGGGCCATATGGATTCAAGATTGTCAGGTAGCAGAGGTATCCTTGAGCATTGTGAAAGCTTCAGCATTGCACTCGATTCCAGCTCACAGTGCCTGCGGTGAGCTTCGGCCGACACTCGCGCCGGCCGCGTGCTGTTCGGCCGACACTCGCGCCGGCCGCGTGCTGTTCGGCCGACACTCGCGCCGGCCGCGTGCTGTTCGGCCGACACTCGCGCCGGCCGCGTGCTGCACGCTCCACGCGGCCTTGTTTGTTGGGTCTATACCTGGGACTGCCCATATCTTTTTTCCTGCTACTGCATACGCCGATGGTCAAACCATACCTGCAGCGGTTCATGCGTGTTTCCCTGAGGCCGATTATCAAGTTCAATTAGGACGCGTTACTCAACATCAGCTTTGAAGGAGACATGTGCCCAGAGATCTGACTGGATCCAACGATGTATCCGTGACCCCCCCCCCCCCCCAGGTGGCTTGGGTGATGGCAACCGGGTCATGGGTCGTTGCATATGTTTTTTGGGATCCATGCATGTGTGTGCAATGAATGAAATCTGAATTCATATAAATCGACGCGATTTGGACTAAAATCGCTCTTGGTTAAACCAGGACGATATTTTAGCCCCATTCGGCATTGAACATAAGGAGGATGAAACAAGTCTGCCCGTTTGTTTCAATACGATATCAAATCGATGTTTTGCATCAGTCATTTGTCATGCCTACAAATATCCAGGCCTAAGCGACATTCGATGGAACAATTACACGCCTGCATGGTGCACGAACGTCGCCTCCTTTGAAGCACAGCAGATAGCGTCGGTGGCGATGTCCTCCCACGCACGCTCAGCGCGCACCGCGTGCTGCCACCAGTGTGACCGGTACTACGAGTGTCAGGACTTCGTCATCACGGAGCGGATGTGTCCGGACGGCCTCGTCTTCAACGACTACAGCGTCTCGTTCGGTCGCTGCGACCAGCCCTTCGGTGTGAACTGCACGGGCCGGGAGGAGCTGCGTGAGTACAGCGCGGGCCGGGAGGAGCTGTGTGAGTACAGCGCGGGCCGGGAGGAGCTGTGTGAGTACAGCGTGGGCCGGGAGGAGCTGTGTGAGTACAGCGTGGGCCGGGAGGAACCCCGTGAGTACAGCGCGGGCCGGGAGGAGCTGAGTGAGTACAGCGCGGGCCGGGAGGAGCTGTGTGAGTACAGCGCGGGCCGGGAGGAACTGCGTGAGTACAGCGTGGGCCAGGAGGAGCTGTGTGAGTACAGCGCGGACCGGTGGGAGCTGTGTGAGTACAGCGCGGACAGGGAGGAGCTGCGTGAGTGCAGCGTGGGCCGGGAGGAGCTGTGCGAGTACAGCGCGGGCCGGGAGGAGCTGTGTGAGTACAGCTCGGGGTTGGAGGAGCTGAGTGAGTACAGCGCGGGCCGGGAGGAGCTGAGTGAGTACAGCGCGGACCGGGAGGAGCTGCGTGAGTACAGCGCCGGCCGGGAGGAGCTGTGTGAATACAGCGCGGACCGGGAGGAGCTGTGTGAGCACAGCGCGGGCCGGGGGGGGAGCTGTGTGAGTACAGCGCGGGCCGGGAGGAGCTGTGTGAGTACAGCCCGGGCCGGGAGAAGCTGTGTGAGTACAGCTCGGGGTGGGAGGAGCCCCGTAAGTACAGCTCTGGTCGCGAGAGTCCGGGAACACGGCGCTGGGCAGGGGGTGCTGCGGAACTGCCTGCTTTGGAACGCGTAAATCTGATGTCTGACGTACGGGCTTTGTGACTTACATGGCTTACACTTGTATGATCGCTTGCACGCTCAACGCGCTCTGGTTGAGGCGAAGTTTTCTTGTCAGCTTACAGTGTGAGGACAGTCCAGAAATGTTGTCAAACATTTTCAACTTTTTAATTGCGGTGTTTACTGGTCATGTCATACGCTTATCGGTCTTTAGCACTCCTCGAAATTAGACTGCTTGCTTTGTTTTGCACTTGGCAAAACACCACGTAGCTCTCATGCAGGTCTCGTTTCCCCAAGAGTATCCAAATAACCCGTCGTCACATGGCCACCTCACCCCCGGCCCCGTTCGCCAACAGAAGACCCAAAGCCCACCGGTGACTGCCCGCGGCAGAACGGCTACTTCGCCGACCCGAAGCCAACGCGCTGCGGCAGCTTCGTCCACTGCGTGGACGGCACGAGCAACCGGGTCACGTGCCCGGCCGGTTTGGTGTTCTCACTGCAGACGGGCACCTGCCAGTGGCCCGATCAAGCCGGCAGGACCGGCTGCTCCTCGGAAGGTCAAGCGACGTCGCGCCGCCGCCACGGCCGGAAAGCCGAATTCCATTACGGTTGCAAATGCGTGTTGGAATTATTGTAAGGTGGCATTTAGCGACACAGGGGAACTTTGCCAGGGGTTGTGATGAAGTGACAAGGGTTCAGAACCGGGTTGGTTCTTTTCTGTGCAGTTACTGAGCCTGCAGGCAGCTAAGTTTGAATTTAAGACGTATGCTGCTTACTATCTTGCTTACTATGATTGCAAAACCGAACATGTAAGTCCTGAAATGTCCGTGCTAACGTTTGGTATAAAACCCAAATCATTTTCTTGGTATGGACCAAATCCTCAGGATAACCATTCAGTCCAAGGTCAAATTATGCACCTCACTTTGAAATAACCGATGCCAACGATTACAAACGGATAAAGACGGAGCAGAGGAAGCGTCCAAAGTGCACTTAATCTTGCAGATCTGTAGAAATTGATAAACCCTAGAACATCTCTGTACTGTCAACTCACAAGACCGAACCGCATAAGACTGCCAAGCTAATTTGGTACGTTCTGCAGATTCCTGTTCGAGTGATGAAACTCATCCGCTTTTTTCTTATTTGCAGAGGTGCTGGAGTTCAAGTGTCCGGGAACTGTGGACGGAAAACTGGCCAATCCAGCGCCTGGTTTCCCCCTCCACCCGCGCTACGCCGACCCCACGGACTGCCAGTTCTTCTTTTCGTGCCTAGATGGCGTTGTGCCGCGTCGTCACGGCTGCGAGGCGGGACGCGTGTTCAACGACGAGACAAAACAGTGCGACAAACCGGAAAACGTTCCCGAATGGTGAGAATATGCGTGGTGATTAAGAGAGGGTGCATGCACTGGAGATGGCTATAACTGAGAAGGCGTGAGGATATCGGCGTCATCGTCGGCTCGGCAGGCGTTGGGTTTGGTCAGAGCCCGCACCTGTCGCCCGCATGGATCTTTCCAGAGTAATACTTGCTACAAGGCACACCGGCCTTTCCAAGCAAAGGCCGGTGTGCTTGACGATGAGTCAGTCGGTCTGCCTCAATCCAGAACTGTATAGTTGTGGTGTGGTTTGTTATATTGTTGTTCATCACAAGTCTTGTTGTTCAGTCCTGCGTGTTTAACCACAACGGCCACAGTCGCATGAATTTCTGTAACCGGTGATTTGCTTTGGCAGTTATTACGAGTGACGTCTGCAATGTTGACGCCAAGAAAGTCTCATCAAGGAGGCGGGCGGCGGCGATGCCATCAAGAGGAAGTGAAGCCATACCGAGGACTGCAGCAAGGGATGTACCGAGGAATTCATCACGAGCAGTACTGGTTCGCACATACCGGGGATCATCGCACCTATGACTATAAGGCAATCCAAACATAAAACACGATGGCCTTATCGTATGAACCAGATTTTACCACGCCCACTTTAATCGGTCCTGCCCATTGCGCGTACATTGCGACCAAATACGTCATGTTGTGAATGAAACCCACCCGAGCGAGGACGACCCAAGATACCTAAAATACTTTTACACTATCCAGTTGAACAAAATTCTTCATGTCTTGCAATCATGTAATCATCTCATCGTAGATAATCAGTCCCGCTTCAAACGTGTTCATGGTGGTTGCCGCAACTCCACAAACGATCAGTGTGTTACCATCGTACATATCACTTGTTACATTGCAGACGTATAGTTTGCACAATCTACGTCAACTTTCAATGCTCCGTCGTGTTGCGGTGCACATGTAACTCACACAGCGCACGGAAACGCACACATGTAACGCACACAGCATCGAAAGGTGCGCCCTGCGGTGACTGCTCATGGTTCTAACGTGGCCGACGACTGCTTGCGGTCGACGTCTGGCGACAGAGGATTTCTAATTTCCCGAACTGCACTAACGTGACTGAAATGCGTTTAAAATGCGGAGTTGTCATGGTGACGCATGCGACACGGTTAGATGTGGTGAAATTTCGTGATTGATCTTGGAGATATTTCATGATTGGTCGTGATGGGATGTCAATAGTGACAGTGGCGAGGCTTCAGGGTTAGGTGTGATGAGACGGGACTGCGGAGCAATAATTCATGTTTCGTTTTTAATACACCTTGTGGTTGTCGCATCGCAGCTGTTTTTGACTACTACGAGCAGAACACCACGCTGTTCAACTGCAACTTATGGACCGCTGAAGCTTTTCTAACTGTTTTGAATTACCTGTGTCGTTGGGAACTGGTTCAATCACCATTGCTAGATAAGTGGTGTACAAATGCCAAGCTGGCTTATGATGCATCGCACATTGTGCAATGTATGAAGAGGCAAAGCAGATCAAATTTTGTATAGGCGACATTCAGACTTCTAATTATCCAACGGGCCTTTAAAGGGCTGTGATGGGCGGGATGAGGGTGGGAGGGATCCCTTGAGGCAAGAGCTCTTTAACACAAAAAGAGTTTCTAAGATCAAGGCCCGAGACTGTCCTTTCTGAGCAGCGGGGGAATCGCAGCTCCCTGGTCCTGGGTGGTCCCTATGCGGGACCGTGAGTTGAAAGTGACCCCGGAGGTAAGCTTCGTCTAAACAGAACAAACATTTCAAAAGGGTCCTACCCTGGTAGGTCAGGAGCTCAAATTCGGCTAGAAGTTGACCTAGTTTTTGTCCCACGGACCGCAAAATAGCATTTAGGAGCCCTTTCCCAGAAAGCGTTCTCAAGACATCTCAGCATTGACCCCAGAAGTTATCTCATTAACCCCCAGTGACCATCACTGGCATTTCCCGCTCAGCTGCTTTGAGCTTTCGAAAGGAAAAAGTGTGCACAAGCGCCTTTGGGCGCGGGTTCGAACTCGAGGAAGGAGTGCTTGGTGAATGGCGAGTGGACCGTGGGGAGGGGTGGAGGGGCGATGAGTCACTAGACTCTAGTTAATGAGCTAATTGATTCTCTGCTCCTAATCAATGACATCTCAACCAGTGACCTCCCACCAGTGATTTTCACCCCCCACCCCCCAGCAAACTGCGAAGTGCCCCGCCACGACTGAAAACGCTGATTCGCTAGCAGCTCACGCCCGACCGAGTCTTTAACACGCTCTACGCAGAATATAAGCTTGGAGAGTACATATCGCTGGAAGTTGAATAGAATAGATGGTTGCAAAGATTAGGGTGAGGGTATCATCAATGCATCAACAGCTTGCAACGACATCACTGCATTTCATCGCATCACCTCATTTTCATGGACTGTGGCGTTCGCAGGTGAAATAAAAGAACATAAAACAGGGAGAATCCGGCTAGCAGGTCCATCCAAACGGAGGCTCATCAGATAATGACACGCTCAAAAACCATTTGCCAGTACAATGATTGCAGAGTGGTGCGCCATTCGACGCGGCGAGCTCGACGTGCCGGAGAAAAACACATATGAGACATGCCTATCATCAACACTATAACCCAGGGAGCAACAAAACTACACATTTTCCGCTCTTAGCTGCTGACATGATTCAAGATCACCCTTACCACCCTTCAGACAATTTTGGACTTTCTGCATTTGACTTTGGACTTAAGACAATTTAAGATTTTTGGGCACCTCCACACATTTCACGCTCGTTTGGCCCCGATAACTGCGACTACAGCGCATCGATTGATATTGGCATTTCAGGGGCCAAAAAACACGCACAATGTTAGACTTTTGCCCCGTCAGTCGCGAAGCCCATGACCCCCATTCTCCACTCCTGCTTCTCCCGGATAAATCGACTGCGCTGCGTCAAATGGCGAGCATTTTGTTTCAATGGGGCGGAGGTTAGACTTTTTCGTGACAACAGTCAAAAGTGACATATTTAGGCTTTTGTTGGCCGTTGGATCACGAAACATGACTTTCACACTTTTCTTGCTTATTTGTCTCTGATGGTCATTGCACATCGATTAGCAAACTTTTGTATCCGGTTGTCTGAGAAGAGAGAAGTTTTTGACGGCCGTGTCAGCAGACACAGCCGGAAATTTTTTAAATTGGTTGGTTCGGGGTCATGACGCTCAATACCATTATGTTTGATGATTATCTGCCTCTTGTAAATTATTTGCATCTGTTATTCCCGCTGCGTCAAATGGCATACATCTAATTCTGGAACGGAACAATGGTTTTTGATCTCACGAGCAGCATTTTCTCCTGAGTGTGTCGACGTTTTAGCACCTCTATAAAAGTGAGGCATTGGATATCACCCACTAATTGACTTCTAAAGCAGACCCCGCTGCAAAAAAACCGTTGTCATGCTCTAAATTCCAGTGCAAAAATAAGCGTTTCGGAACATAGCAAATCCAAACACCATGCACGGCTTCGCCTTGCAAAACAACAAAAGCATCCATGCTGTTTTTTTGCCTGGGTGGTTTTTCCTGCAGGCCAGATACAGTATTGGGTACTACGGCGTGAGGAGCTGAATGCCCAGGATGGCCGTATGATTTCGGCTTAGATTGTGTCTGCCTGTCTGCCCCGTTTTACGAAGCACTGTTCACAGGACAGCAGCGGGTCGCTGAAGGGTGAAATTCGGACACGATGCGCGGGTGTACGAGGTGGTTTTCCACGGGTAGATCGCGTGCCGCTGCGGTCCAAGGTTCGGGCGGGGCGCAATGCGGAAGGACCGTTTAGGCCCGTCGGTTTTACACGGGCGGCCCGGCATTGTGACCGACGACAAAGTCGACCAGCAGCCTTTCGAAACCGTGACCACATCTAGACAACCAGGGCTCAGAAAGGCAAGCAATTAGCACGCTTAGATAAATAATTGGACGGGGCATCATGTGGTGCCAGACGTGCGGTCGCGCGCGTCACGTGTCACGTGCACAAAGACAATGAATATGAATTTAGCGTGTTTTTGCGGTTTTCCGCGTTTTATTCTATATCTCGGCAGTCAGAGTGCGTGGAGGCGTGAATTAAATTTCAAAGCGTCGGCCAACGCACCGTCTGCAATCCGCGTGTCCAGCACGAGTTTGTGCGACGTCTGCGCTGATAATGGCCGGGCGAGTAGGGAAGTCGGCGTTTGGAAAACCGGCGAGCAAAACACGCCGTCGCCAAAACTATAGCCTGGATCGTGGCGAAATTTACACTATCACATGCACCGATTCATTGCCTGTATTTGCCACCCATTTATTTGTCATTTTGTGCATTGTGCCGTCAAAGCATTTACTTAACCCACAGGGTTGCAATTTCAAACTTTCGCGTCGTCAAAATACTATTTGTCAATCGTTCAGTCGCCACTGGTGAGTATTTCAAGTAAAATGACAAAGCCCGCACGCGCCGCATGCTGCTGGCTTCTGGCGTCCGCCACTCATTTATTTATTCAATCATTCGATGTGGTGAGAAAGGTGAGCTATAGTGACGATCAGATGTATTATACGAGCTCAGTGCTATGAGAAATGTCAAAGAAAGCACACAATCAAGTAAAGAATAGTTTGCAACGGGCGTGATAAGAAGACATATGAAATGCAACAATTTTTTTCCAGCGAAGCTCACTGCTACGACACAACAATACTCCCATTTGCTTTGAAGTCTGAAAACACAGACACATGGCAGCAGCATTGACAGACGGCAGTAACGAAGTGGTAAGCAAGGTAGCAAGTGCGTTTTTCTTCAGCCTTTGGCACGTGCAACAACAGATCGATTAACCCTAGTCCAGACATGGAGAGCAATGTTTGAAAACCGGACAAATGCTGTATATGTTTTAGTAAGTAGGCCGTGAGCTCAAAAGGGAATTATTTCTCAGTGTTTCCGGATTATCTTTTTTACTAATTTGTTTGGCCTTATCCGCTTCGAACCTATGACCGGGTGCCGAGAAATCGGCAAGAGCTATGGCAACGCTTATCTCAACGCTCCCTCCTGACCTGTGGCAATACCCAGCACATTCTCTTTGCTGGGTCAATGCACCCGAGTGTTCCTCTGTGCTGCAACACTGTTCTAATCCTCCCGTGCCGACCTATTCGACTTTCTAAGCTTACATTGAGTGCGGTTCTTTTTCAGCGCCGATTTTAATTAGATGACTTGGTATTCTTTCATACCCATGCATGCCGGCATGTACATTACAGGTCCTGATGTCATGACGGCATAAAAACGGAGCAAATTATCTACAATCGTTTCCGAAAAATATCCAACACGGGACATCAAGTATACATTTCATCCCGGACCACGTAAAGGCCCAACTAGGTAACCTCGTAACCGTGGCCAATTACAATGAAATAAATGAAAACACGATATGTAATATTGTTGAAAGGTCTCACAAGAACCGTTAGTTAAATAACCATGTGTCATGTGTAGCTGCAAACGGTTAAAATGATTCTAAAAACACTTTAAAACCCTTCCAGACGGTAACGAAACACTGCAAACACCTTACATGCCGGAATCGCTTAAGGAGCTTAACCGTTTTAATCGTTTATGTCGCCTTGTTTCGTCTTGGAACGATATGGTCGACAGCGAAGATTGATAGAGCATATGCAGGGCTTTAACGAGCAGAGAACGGCACAGCTGGCACTCCGCAGGCTTTTGAACTGATCTACAACAGAGGGATGTGCTTTGACCGGCGAAGAGTATCCGCTCGCTCTGTTCCCCGACAGAGCGCACGATCACCTGTATGCGATGATGGGCTGCAGGACAAAGAGACGCATGTAACGTGCGTTTATGCTGCTGCATGCTCATCAAAAACAATCTTCATAATATATTGATGTGGTCCATACGGGCATGGTTTACAACACCGCAATTTACAGCGAAGGTAAGGTAAGTTGTTCAGTGCATGAGCGAGGAATAGTATTCACATAGATAAGACAGTAGTAATAAACTTATTCCTCGGAGAAAACCAGCAGAATGCAGACCTAGTTGAGTTGACATTTCGGCAACATGCCTTTATCGAAACAACAGCAGGAGATAGGAGGAATGTCATATTAATATTTTCTGTCGATGCTGCGGAGTATCAGCTGTGGCTTCTCTGATCGTTAAAATGCTGCACGTTTATAGGAGAAATATCAACCAAACTATATCTCCATTCTACTGTTTTTTCCAAGGAATAAGTCTATTACTACTGTCTTATCTATGCGAAGGTAAGGTATATTTAATCACCTATTCTCGTGCTGTGGAATAAGGTCGAAAAAGAACAAATGCATTTTGATTT